GGGATTTCAATATTACTTGGCACAAATGTTCACCATTGTGAGGCGGAGTGTCGCGCGCAAGATTCAGGTCCTTGCGGCCAAGGTCAAGGTCACACATAGAGGTCAAAGTTCAGATAAAAATATGAGGATGTGTATATGAACCATTTAGTCATCATTTATTGAGGGATTGTAACACAAATGGTCATTATGAAGACTATGGCTGTGATACATATAATTTAGGTCAATATATACAAGGTCAAGGTCACTAAAGATGATGAAATGTCCAGATTGTGTCCGGAGCATATCTCCTACACGCATGGAGGGATTTTAATGAAATTTCATAGAAATGTTCACCATTATGAGAAGCCATGTCACGCACATGAACTAGGTCTCTAGGTCAAAGGTCAAGGTCACACTTACCCAGCCAGCACACCGTAATCGGTCCGATATCTATCCGATATGTCCTCCATATCGGTCGTTAACGATATCGGCCCAGTATCATTTTGTCCATCGGCATTTGATCGGTCCGATATCGGTGTTAAGACTTCATCGGTCCACTATCGATCCAGTATCGGCATATTTTATACTGGCCATACCTGAAACATTACAGCTTTAATATCCAAAAGAAAAAAAATATAAAATCCGTACACTTCACATATATTTATTCATCCAAGAAAATCGTAAAATCATCTGTAACAATAGTAATACTGATCAATTTGGCATACTGGAATCGTTCAAAAATAAAACAAAAACAAATGACTAGCTTAAATACTGACCTGGCACTTATTCTTTGAATGGTCATTTATAAACTAGAGCTGTCAAAAGACGGTGCACAACAATTCATGTATACTGTATAGTATAAATTCATATATATGAATTGACTATCAGAATAAATTATAAATACACAGAAGTAACAATACAAAAATGTACTTAAGACTAAAAACAATGCAAGTTGATTCGACTAGTGTATGAGCATTTTTGACTATTATGCAACAGAATTTGGCACAAAAAAAACAATAAAAGGAAACAAATGGGAACAGTAACAACTAAATTTACCAAATTAAAAATTGTACATGTATGTAAAACATGTTTAACACGTTCAAAAATAAAACAAAAACAAATGACTAGCTTAAATACTGACCTGGCACTTATTCTTTGAATGGTCATTTATAAACTAGAGCTGTCAAAAGACGGTGCACAACAATTCATGTATACTGTATAGTATAAATTCATATATGAATTGACTATCAGAATAAATTATAAATACACAGAAGTAACAATACAAAAATATACTTAAGACTAAAAACAATGCAAGTTGATTCGACTAGTGTATGAGCATTTTTGACTATTATGCAACAGAATTTGGCACAAAAAAAACAATAAAAGGAAACAAATGGGAACAGTAACAACTAAATTTACCAAATTAAAAATTGTACATGTATGTAAAACATGTTTAACACACATACCAACCAAGGGTTAGAAATCTTTCATATTTAACTCAAGTGTGTACAAATTCAAGTGTTATATTATTACGTAAACATTGTTTAAAAATACATATACTACTATTGTTTATCATTTTAATTTGAATGAATACAATATGAATTTCTTCTTATTTGAATGACAAGTTATCAATGGAATGTAATTCAAACGCTAAATCCTGAAGGATGTGATCCAGAATTCCCTATGATCAGGAACTGCTTGACGGGCTATAGCTGAATCACTGATGAAAAATATTGTCATATTGCTGTCAAGTTCATAAATCAGAAAATTATTCCACGTGCTCCGAGTCATTATTTGCTCCTTTCATCCGCTTCTTTCTTTCACCATCCCTGTCTGAAGCATTGCGGAGCCAGTCCTTAATAAAAAATTCGGTGTCATGGGAACTTGACTCTGGGAAGTTCCTTTTGACAGCTCCTGTAAAATACAGAGCACATATTTGATAAACATGTATGTACTAGCTAGAAATAATATAATTTGTAACGTATAACTTATCTGAGAAAATCATTTTCATACAACATGTAGCATAATTAAAAAGTACAATTATGTGCAACCACTCTGTCTAGTTTAAATGACACCAAAGCTTTGGTATGGTCCGATATTTTTGGCCATTTCATTTGGAAAACCTGTTCCGGTTAGGTGGTTTTCTGCTTACATTTATAAGTGCATGATTGAACGGGAAACCAGCTGAAATCGTGCCAATCGCAACTTTTCGGCCTTTTCCGTCACTCTTCGGATTAATGATAATAGCCGATGTACTTCCGATTACAATCGTGACAATTCGGGCGATTCCGTCATACTGCGGAATCAGACGGAAGTAATATTACGGAAATCTAAGCTATTTTAGTTACTTCGGTAATCCCAGTTTGTTTATATAAATAGGATTCGTATTTTTACTTGATTTATTGATTTAAACCGTAATAAATTATAAACGAAATTGTTCCGTTTCAATTCTTTTTCAAGACGCCAAAGTTAGTTTCTTTTATAATTGTTTTTTGTCTGTATTAGTTTAACACAATAGAGGATGTTGACTGTAGTAGTATTCCGTCTTCAAAGGGTGGTCCAAATCACACAGTGCATGATCGAGTTATATTTAGATCTACTGAAATTGGTGAGGTAATCTAAAAATAGCCCATGCATATCATTAACCTTACCACGTGATGATTTATAGATAGCGCATCGTATCTGGGAACATGCTTATTAATTAAATGAAATGTGCACACTTGTTTCCTTTCAGTATGATAGATCTTCACGTTAGTATTTTTACGATTGATTATTTTCTTTAATAGTTTTATACAATAGAGAATAGATTTCAAATCGTTTTGACAAAAATATTCGTTTTTACAAAAATAAAAACAAATAAATATGTTGGGATGAAGGCACAACTGTGCAAGCCTTTCCTTTTAAAAGGAAACTTTATTCCATATCGGCACATCTCCAAGGTCATATTGACAGTGACATTTGCTGTAAGTTTGTTATGACATTCACCCTAAAATTGTCTATAACTATAATAACTTGTATACAACCTGTATTTTTTTTATGGTAACGGTGTTTGAATATCGTTAAAGGTTTACAAAGTTTACCGAATAGTTATCGAGTGACAATTCAATGTTGACAGACTTTAATAGTATCATGAGATACGCACAGAAGTAAATTGATGTGAACAGCATTGTTCATAAGTTAATCAAAATATACAATACTTTTATTCAATCTCTAATAACTATAATACGAATAGTTGTTGTTGTTTGTTTTTACGCCCTTTCAACAATTTTTCAGTTATTGGGCGGTCAGTTTCCTAAACATCTTTCCTGGAAATAACCAGTACCAGACCCCTACCCCTCCGTGCCAAACTGACAAATCGCGTCCCCCGCTGGGATTCGAACCCACGCCGGAGAGGTCTATTGGATCGTTCAAAACAATATTTCTTAGAATTCCAACATTATCATTTACAAGAAAGCAGGTGTTGCCTTGTGATGTAGAGAAAAAGATGTCAGGAAAATGGATTTCTTTGAACTGGGAAACTGTCATATGGTTAAACCTTCTCAGCAGTGGTCCATTAGCATGGGCTTTTTTCAATATGCCTTCTTTTTCAGAAACTTTAGCATCAGCAAAAAGGTTTCCTTTACTTTCAGATATTCTACGAATAACTTGTTGCAGAGGCAATGTGGGTCTTCTTACAAGACGCTTCATTTTTCCGAGAAAGCTTTCAAACACAAAAGCAGAAAAATTTTCCAATGGACCAAACTTGTGAACATCTGTAGGCAAGTGCACCAAACCATGAACATTAAAAACAACCATATCTCTGCCATATATCTCACCAAACTGATTTACAAATCTATAAAGTAATTCCTGGACATAATCCCTATAAGTTTCACAAAAAAAACTGCAAGACAAGCAAAACATACTAACAAACAACAAGATAAAATGCTTGTACAAATGGGGAGGCAGCTGTTTCTTTAGAACAACTGGACCAGTATACAGCAAGAATTGACGAAATTCTGTTGCTTTCCATCTTTCGACATAATCAAGAGTCCGTGCTTTGCGACTGAACTCTTTTGGTAAGAACCCCTTTAAATCAGCCAAGCTACTTGATATTCTCTTGACAGCATTCATACCAATACGACACCCATTTTCCAGTGGTCCCTTGATCCAAAGCAGTATCATGCGTTTAACTACTCCAAGGTATACTAAGTGCATAGCATCTATTGGAAACTGAGAAACCATGCCGACTGGCAAATTATGAAATGGAGATTGACCAATGTGATGCTCTGCATCTTGCATTTCATCAAACAAAGCATCAGTTCTGAGAGGAGAGTTTGTTGAAGGAAATGTCATCTTTCCATGCCATACTCCACGTTGCCTACATTTATCACAACCATGATAGCCACTATGGCCTTTAATTTGTTTGACAAATGCTTTTGCAGGTGCATCACAAATAATGCATGACAGTGAAAATTCCACTCTCTCTTCAGATTCATCTGGAAGCCTAACTCCATTCTGAAATAAATCATTCAAGTCACGAACAAAGTGATTAAGATATTCCGCCACACTGGTAGGTTTTTGATCTCCAGAATAGAGTCCAATTACAAATGGCTTAGAAATTTTGGGTTTTACAAATCGTCCTAATATGGGCCACAGCTGAGCACCAGAACTTTTAAACAAGGGCAGCCCATCAATATTTACTTGAAGAGAAACTTCAGTAACATTTTCTATGCCCGTGACTATTGACATAACCCAATTTTCTATTCCGAAGTGATAATAGCTACCACCAGCAACATTTAAAACTTCATAACTTTTTGGAGTTTTCATTAACGTTCTAACATCTTTTGGCAGGTAAGGATGATAATGCCGTAAAATAACTAATAAATCATTAACTGCAACATGGCTAATATTATGTTTAGCAACCCAAGAAACCAAAAGTGTAGACAGATTAGCCTCTTGGTCATCCGAATCACAATCAGATTCAGAACTGTCAGAGGATTCATTTTCAGACCTGACAGGTGAGTGTGCTTCAAACATGGGCATATTTGATATATTCTCATTATTTAAATCTACAGAATCATCTACAGAAGCTGTGAATTGTTCATTGTCATATGTCTGCTGTGGATTTTCTAAATTTGGGCTAGATTCAGTAAGAGACTCCTCATCGGCCTCTTGATTAGCCAGACCTACATCTTCATCTAAATTATTTAAAGCTTGTACATGCAAATTGACTGATGAAACAACTCTTCTGCGTTTAGACCAATAAGAACTCATTTTCAATATTTTTCTATGAATGAGAATACTTCAAAATAAATAAAAAGGGCAAAAAAAAAAGTCTTTACTAATATCAAAATTCGCGAAAACTAATTACAAAGATGTAATGCAAACAAAAACACATGCTGTGCCTGCAATAGCGGTAACTTTATGCAGCTTAAATAAACAAATGCCTTCCGTTTGGTTTTAAAAGTTGATTACAAGATTTTATTTGATGTAAATTTAACACACAATGCTTACGTTTTCGTTTTGATTCGTTGTCTGATTTTTGCGCCAGTTTAAGGAAACAATCCAACGAAAATTATTGAACCTAATGAACGGAAAGAAAAAAAACCGATGACGGTCCAGGATCGTGCCGACGACGGATATATATTCAATAATAAGATAGTTATAAACTCTTAAAGGTAATTATTAAATTCAAAGTTTTATCTACACTTTTTCAATTTTCCACAACTGCTAAATTATATTATTTTAAAATATGGATCAGTGGTGAATATCGGATAGACATCGGATAGACATCGGACCGTTATGCCGATATTCCGTTCAGTTACCGATATCTATCCGATTTGGCTATGCTGACTGGGCTCCAGTTTAAATTATTTGTTCCGTTACCATTCTCAGGGCAATCTCTTTGTATGTGCCCTTGCTTGTTACACTTGTAACATGTCCTTTCTGCTAAACGTAATGGACAACGTAACCTAATGTGACCTGGCTGCCCACAATGAAAACAACCATCTTTCCGTGCAGTCCCTCTCCCTCGACCACGTCCAACGCCAGTACCTGATGACATCTCCTTTAGCATGTCCATCATCTGTCTAAACTGATCGTTAGATGCACCTTGAGGAATAACCTGAAGATGATCTTTCGCCTTGTCACGCGTAACACGCGTTTCTTTAAGCAAGTTCATCATTTCCTGGAACTGCTGACCCGAAACTCCTTGTTGAACCGCACTTGTCTCATACACATGTGGAGGATCTTCACGCGTAAAACGCGTGGGCTTGGATTTTCCATAAACTGCCTGGTGTACATGTTGGTACCACTTCACATAATCTATGGCACCCTCCATTGTTTTATGTCTCTGGACACAAGCGTTCTGAGCCGATGGTTTATCATATAAACCTGAACAGAATCGGGTGATTGCCTGCTGGTTAGCGTATTTGTCCGGAACTTCTCTGAATGCCTTTGTCGCTAGAGTTAGAACACGGTCCGCCCAATCTTCAAGGCTTTCATCTAGACCTTGGCAAGCCTGCTGAAATCTTACATTGGCTGTTTCGGCCAACTCCCTGGACCCAAATCTCTGTTCTAACTTTTTGATCAATTGTCTGTACGACAGACTGTTGTTGACCTCCATTGTGAGTGTGAAGTACTCTGCTGCTTTTCCAGTAAGGCACCAACACAAACAATTCTTGCATTCTTCCTCCGTCAAACTATATGCCTTAACATACTGCTCGAACTTCATTTTGAATGCAGCAAAATTACTCTTCCCGTCATAAGAAATGCTTTTTGGAATATACCTAGGCATCCTTTGACCCTTGGTGCTGCGACGTGGCTGATCTTCGTCACTGTCATCTGATGAAGAGTCAAGAAATCTCTGATGTTGGCGTTTCTTACTCCTCCTCTTTCGTGGCATAATATCTTCACCTTCAGAGTCATCTGTTACAGCTTGTAGTTTCTTTGGCTTAGAATATCTTTTAATATTTTCTTCACTCTCATCTGATTCTTCAATGAATTTGTCTCGTTTGTACAACTTTTGTTTAATTTTCTTTGTTTCAGGCTTGCATTTAAAAAATTCTTCTTCGGTTTCATCTGAATCTAAGCCCTGTTTCTTACTAAAGCTAGCTTTTGATTTAACTTTTCTTTCAGTTTCGCTTTCCTCTTCCGAACCATCTGAAGACCAATTAGCCATTTTTGAAGCTGCAACTTTTTTACTCTGTATTCTTTTTTGTTTACATTCCTCCTTTACCTCTTTATCCATTTTGAGTACATTTTTGAATTTGTCGGCCAACACTATTGGATCCAACATATTGCTCCCCCGAAGTTCTTTCCTTTGACTCAATGCTGGATTTTCCTCAAAGTCCATGAACATCAAGACACTCTCTGTCATTCGGTGTCCATAAGCCGCTCGTAAAAGTCCCGGTGTTAAATTTCCTACTTCGGATCTTAGTGCCTCGATTCTGCCTGCAATTTTACTTCCAATGTGTGGCACCAATTGCAGTTCGCTTACAGTAGCATAGTTCATTTTCACTCTATTACTAACCATTCTTGGTTCAGAACTTGCTCCCCTAATCTCAACACTAAAACCACGACCAAAACCTCTTGGTGTTGCTTTCTCTCCCTTGTCACAAAGTACTATTTTCGATAAGGATCTGGAACACCGCAATGTTGTAATATGTATTGTCATTCACAACTGCGACTTATTTATCCTGGTTGTTTCAATCTGTATAACAGATGTTCTTTCCAGCATATATTTGTCTAGTTTCGTATAACGAATCCTATCACAAAGGTCACAAAATATTAACTTCGGTTTGATAATTGGGCCAGCAGCAATATCCCAATGTGTATAAAAGATTTTTCCGTAACAAAAATATGTACAACACACTTAAGTTACACCTTCTGGTTTAATTCGTAAAACAATTTAAACCTTGTTTAATTTTGTACAACAAAATCAAACAAAATCTTATATTCAAATATGTAAAATAGAACTCCCGTAACAAAAATGTATACAACACACTTGAGTTACACCATACGGTCTACTTTGTAAAACAATTTAGACCCCGTTTAATTTCGTAAAACAAAATCAAACGAAATTCTATATCCAATACGTATAAACAATATAATTTTATTACTCTAACCGAAATATGTATAACACACTTGGGTTATCTCTTACAGTTTAATTTGTAAAACAATTTAAACCTGGTTTAATTTTGTATTACAAATATTAAACCAAATTGAAATATATCAATACTGCACTAAACCAAAACAAAAATTGTCAATATGTGCAATACTGATAACACTGAACGATTCAACTTGTAACACAAGTTAAATCCGGTCCAACTTTGTGAATTACAAATTCACAATCTTCCCTGCAACATATTTATTAATACAAAATTGGCCAAATACAATACAACGTTCCCTGGGGAAATCAAAACACTTCTAATGTGAATAAACAATTTATTTTATTAAATGCCTAACAATTCCAATTGCTTTTAATAAAATCACTTAAGCACACACATAAAAATTGTCAGTTGCCGGCAAATCACATTTAAAACTCAGGATATCCCTATAAATCTGTGACTATTTCATACACCAACCGGACCCTGGTGCCACACACACACAGACACTACGTAATCCTAGGTATTAACTTAACCAAGCCGGCAACTTGTAAGGTTACAATCAATTTAAATATGGGAGTCAGATGGTACACAGGCCAGAATTTAAATTGATATAGCAAATACAATATACACAATCCAAGATACAATTAATCAATCCATGAACTAAAGCTCAGAACTTTTGAATTAAAATTAAATAAAAATTAAATTTTTACCATGAAACAATTTTAGAAAAATAAAATCTACTTCAAATAATTATTTAATCAAATCCACACTAAATATTAGTACAGCACAGCTATCAAATCATTGCTACAATACCTTACCGGAAAAAAAAAAAAATGAGCTTTAATCCATGGTCATAAAATAATTAAGTCCACGCGATTGAAATACCACGCGAAAAAATACAAATATCCTAAATAATTAACCAAACAGGCCAGGGAATTACCACACTATTGTTTTGTCTCTTGATTGATCTGCTAAAAGCTTCCTAATCTGTAAAAAACAACAAAAAATTACGTTTCCGGTTTCAAAATCACCGCTTGCAGGAAATATTGCCAATCACAACGTTCCGCGCATGCGCTACGCACCGTAAATTACCGAACCTGACGATGTTCGCCAATTTACCAAAATTACAAATTCAGAGTCCCGAACCAATTTCCACTCCTAAACGCGATCTCACGAAACTCATAATTACAGCCAATGACCTTAACACACGAAACTTTTAAAATTTAATCCGCCAAATTGTCTCAAAAGCTGCAGAAAGCCAACAGCGAGAACCCGCAATGTGACGTCACATGCGCCGTACGCCCGACCGATTTGCTGTCAAAAAACCTATCTGCCCGATCCCAATTGAAACAATTTATCCTGCCGACAACGCCAATAAAGTATGCGCGTGTTTAGGCTTTACAATTCATCAATTACACAGCGTATAACGCTACGAATGGCAATACTAAATCCTGCTAAAAAAAACCGCGAAGTAACCGACGCCATTACCATAAACCAACTACCCAGAGTGCACTTCGAACCCCGGGAAAAAGGCCATCCATCCCGTACTGTAATTATCCGGATAATTAGTAAACACTACATTATTCGGACCCGATTAATCAAATCGCCAAATCGCGATTTGGTAAAAATGCCGATCGTGAATAGTTTGGTGCCTGAATGGCTGTATTTTATTTAATATTTATCAAAAAACATTCTGATACATAAAACATCTATGTCGTAAGAATTTCTCACACCTTTTGCAACCTTTAAAACTGTAATAAATTATAATAAATAGCGACAAATCAAAAACGGGGTCAAATCTTTCCAAGACCTGTCGATGCATATAGATTTATTCAAGCTTAATGACCTGCTGATGTTTGCATACGACTCCCATACATGCTATCAAACATTTCAATAATAAAAAAAACCGTTTGCATCAGCAATAATACAAATTCAAAAGATAATTTGCATTTAATTTCTTACTTCTTCCAAGTTTGTTTTCATTTGCAGAAATGGCCGCGATGAATTTTGCACTTAGCTCTGCAAACCGAAACGGAAAGGAATTAAAAGAATAATATCCGTAAATTAAACTTTAATCGTAATCACGTTTTTTCGTGAAAAAAATTGTTTTGTTCACTTTCTTTTTATCTTATATAAATAATTTACTGAAAAAAAAGTGACAATCGTGATAAAGACCGAAAATATTTTATTTTTTATTTCGGAAATGACACATACTCCTTACGGATGTTCATACGAAATTAATGGAAAAATCCATTTTTGAATAGGGAAATCAACTTGATTTTCGCTCTCAAATTTGTGATTTACTGATTGATTCTGTTTTGATTTTATTTTACATTCAACGACCTTTTCATCTTTCTCACAGTTTAGCAGAAAAATCATCATAACAATGACAGATGAAACAAAAATTAAATGATACAATATCTCATTTTATCCCTACAAAAAAAGTCTTTATATCTCTACAATTAAAAAAAACTTTTCACCACCAAAACTGAGACTAATTTTCAACTCTGGACCAAAATTTCAGTATGCTTTGTAGAAACCTTTAAGCCAATGCCTTGTGAGAAACATCTAAGCTCTAGCCCTTTCCGTTTTCAAGTATAAGCATTTTTAGCTCGACTTTTCTATGAAAAGGGGAGCTATCCTACTCGCCCCGGCGTCGGCGTCGGCGTCACACCTTGGTTAAGTTTTTCGTACCACCCCACTTTATTTCAGAAGTATTACAAGTATGGCTTTGAAACTTACCATACTTGTTCACCATCATAACCTCCATCTACAGACAAGAGTACATAACTCTGTCAAGGTTTTTGACAGAATTATGGCCCTTTTTTGACTTAGAAAGTGTATTGAGCTTGGTTAAGTTTTTTGTACCACCTCACTTTATTTCAAAACCATTGGAGGTATTGCTTTGAAACTGACCATACTTGTTTACCATCACGACCTTCATCAACAGACAAGAGGACATAACTCTGTCAAGGTTTTTGACAGAATTATGCCCCTTTTTGACTTAGAAAATACATTGAATATGGGTAAAATCCACTTATTGTCTTAACCCTTTGAGATATTGCTTTGAAACTTTTAATGCTATTTCACATCATTACCCCCATCTGTACGCAAGAGAAGGTAACTCTGTCAAGGATTTGTTTTAAAAATTAAGGCCTTTTATCGACTTAGAATCTTGGTTAAGTTTTTAGTACCAGTCCACTTTTTGACTGAACTGTTTGAGATATTAATTTGAAAGTTGGAATACTTGTTTACAATCATGATTCCCAAACATGTCCAGGAGAAGGTAATTCTGTCAAAGATTTTATTTGAATTATGGCCCTTAACTGTCAATGTTTTGTATTATAGGCAAGCACTAAAAAAGTTTTTTTTTCTTTCTTACCAGCCCTCTTTTGACTTAAACATTTCAAACTTTGCTGCAGTGTTCAAGGGTATCACACAATTCAGTAAAATAATTCTTCACTAAATATCTTAATGCTCATGGCCATTGTTCACTTTAAAAATACAGAGATTCTTGTATTGCCTTTTACTGCAAAAACTTTTTTTATTGGCAAGCAATAACAAGAGGGCCATGATGGCCCTGAGGTCGCTCACCTGTATATAGGCCCCCCTAACCCCCACCCCAAACGTTGCAGGGCCAATTTAACCCAAGGGCTTTTATTTGCACAAACTTGGTAGACACCCATAAGAAGATGTTTCATGCTAAACATCTAAGCTCTAGCTCATTGGGCTTTTTAAAAGAAGATTTTTTTTAAGTTTTTACTATACACATATAGTTAAAAACAATGACACCCCTGGGGCCGGGCCAGTTTTGACCCCAGGGCTTTTATTTGAACAAACTTTGTAGACACTCACTAAAAGATGTTTCATGCTTAATATCTTAACTCTAGCTATTTGGGTTTTTTAAAAGAAGATTTTTTAAGTTTTGCTATACACATATAAGGAAAATCAATGACCCCCGGGGAGGTGCAAATTTTGACCCCAGGGCTTTTATTTGAACAAACTTGGTAGACACCTATTAGAACATGTTTGTTGCTAAATATCTTAACCATAGCTCTTTGAGTTCTTTAAAAGAAGATTTTTTAAGTTTTTACTATATGCATATAAGGAAAATCAATGACCCCCCCGGGGCGGGGCCAATTTTGACACCGGGGCTTTTATTTGAACAAACTTGGTAGACACTTATTAGAACATGTTTCATGCTAAATATCTTAGCTCTAACTCTTTTGGTTCTTTAAAAGAAGATTTTTTAAGTTTTTACTATATACATATAGGGAAAATCAATGACCCCCCGGGGCGGGGCCAATTTTGACCCCAGGGCTTTTATTTGAACAAACTTGGTAGACACCCATTAGAACATGTTTCATGCTAAATATCTTAGCTCTAGCTCTTTGAGTTCTTTAAAAGAAGATTTTTTAAGTTTTTACTATATGCATATAGGGAAAATCAATGACCCCCCGGGGCGGGGCCAATTTTGACCCCGGGGCTTTTATTTGAACAAACTTGGTAGACACTTATTAGAACATGTTTCATGCTAAATATCTTAGCTCTAACTCTTTTGGTTCTTTAAAAGAAAATTTTTAAGTTTTTACTATATGCATATAGGGAAAATCAATGACCCCCTGGGGCGGGGCCAATTTTGACCCCATGGCTTTTATTTGAACAAACTTGGTAGACACCTATTAGAACATGTTTGATGCACAATATCTTAGCCAAAGCTCTTTGAGTTCTTTAAAAGAAGATTTTTTAAGTTTTTACTATATGCATATAGGGAAAATCAATGACCCCCTGGGGCGGGGCCAATTTTGACCCCAGGGCTTTTATTTGAACAAACTTGGTAGACACCCATTAGAACATGTTTCATGCTAAATATCTTAGCTCTAGCTTTTTGGGTTCTTTAAAAGAAGATTTTTTAATTTTTTACTATATGCATATAGGGAAAATCAATGACCCCCGGGACGGGGCCAATTTTGACCCCAGGGCTTTTATTTCAACAAACTTGGTAGACACTCACTAGAAGATGTTTCATGCCAAATATCTAAGCTCTAGCTCTTATGGTTTTTTAAAAGAAGATATTTAAAGTTTTTTCTTTCGGTTGCCATGGCAACCAGAGTTCTGCATGGAATTAAATTCTTTGAACAATTTTTAAAGGTGACCACCAAAGGAACATTCCTGTGAAGTTTGGATGAAATTGGCCTAGTGGTTTACGAGGAGATGTCATTTAAAGTAAAAGTTTACGGACGGACGACGGACGGACGCCGGACGAAAAGCGATCACAAAAGCTCACCCTGTCACTTTGTGACAGGTGAGCTAAAAAAGTCGAGCGCGCTGTCTTACGGACAGCTCTTGTTAAGTATTTCCTTTCAGTTGCCATAGCAACCAGAGTTTAGCATGAAATGGAATTCTTTGAACAATCTTGATAGAGCTTCATACTTACTCTGCCAAGTTTCATTAACATTGGCCTTGCGGTATCATAGAAGATGTCCTTAGAATAAAATGTAAAATGTGGACGGACGACGGACGCCATTTGGTTGGCCATCCTAAAAGCTCACCTGCACTTTGTGCAAGGTGAGCTAAAAACCGAAAGAGGTAGAGCTTACATATTTGGCATGAAACATCTTTTACTGAGTGTCTATGAAGTTTATTCAAATAAAAGCCCTGGGGTCAAAATTGGCCATGCCCAAGGGGGTCATTGAATTTCCCTATCTTTATATATAGTAAAAACGTAAAAAATCTTCTTTTGAAGGACCCAAAGAGCTAGAGCTAAGATATTTAGCATGAAACATCTTCTAATGGATATCTACCAAATTTGTTGAAATAAAAGCCCTGGGGTCAAAATTGGCCCCGCCCAAGGGGGTCATTGATATTTTCTATAATGCATATAAGAAAAACAACAAATCTTCTTTTAAAGAACCCAAAGAGCTAGAACTAAGATATTTAGCATGAAACATCTTCTAATGGGTGTCTACCAAATTTGGTTATATAAGTGCCATAGGGTCAAAATTGACCCCGCCCCGGGGATCATTGATTTTCCTTATATGTGTATAGCAAAACTTAAAAAATCTTCCTTGAAAAAAACCCAAATAGCTAGAATTCAGATACTTTAAAGCATGAAACATCCCCTATTGGGTGTCTACAAAGTTTGTTCAAACAAAAGCCCTGGGGTCAAAAGTGGCCCCTCTCTGGGGGCCAATAAACAGGTGAGCGACTTCAGGGCCATCATGGCCCTCTTGTTACATGTGCTATAAAATCAACATAATCATAATGGATACTACCACCAACATGACCAAAAACCAACACTAAATCACAATTTCCAATACCAGTATTCTTGTATATTCACTTTCATTTAGTAAACAGTCTTGATGCGTTTGAATTTTCTGCAACTGTCACTGAAACTGTCAGAAGATTGTTTTCTTTTCAGCTGGGCTTTCTTCTGGAGTTTAAGATGTTTAGCCCTCAAGTTTTTTAATTTTTGGACAGACTCGTTAAGCTGTTCCAGCCTCTTTCTAGCTGCATTGGCGCCATTGTATCGGTTTCTCGTGACGTACATTCTTCAACCACATTCATTTTTGAATCTCAGGTGTTGTTGGTATGTGCCATGTGCATGAATTACACACTTCTTCATGTTTGGAGTGATTACCATTTTGTTCGCTGTTACACTCTTCCTGGGGCGTCCGTGGCCGAGTGGTTAAGGTCGTTGACTTCAAACCACTTGCCCCTCACCGCTGTGGGTTCGAATCCCGACAGGGACTTTGGATTCTTTCATGTGAGGAAGCTATCCAGCTAGCTTACGGAACGTCGGTGGTTCTACTCAGGTGCCCGTTCGTGCCTGAAATAATGCACGGAAGGGCACCTGAGGTCTTCCTCCACCAGTAAAGCTGGAACGTCGCGATATGACCTATACTGTGTCAAAGTGACGTAAAACCCAAAACAAACAAACAAACAAACACTCTTCCTCTTGAGTCCCATCTTCACAATGGCAACAGCCTCATAATTTTAAATTGCCATTGTGGCTCTATCATCTTCAATTATGTCCCACATAATGTTAAAAGTCTACTCAACCAATGGGCCGCTAAATGCTGTCAACAAAGAAAAAGCTTTCCTAAAGAGGACGGGATATTTCTGTTTTTTAATGTCTTTAATATTTAAGCTTTTCCCAAAATTTTCTTTTTCCAGAATCTTTGGCATATATGACATAGATGTTATTTCATATCCTCAATACAGTATCAATAGATAAAATTTACCAAAGATTAATACCTCCATTTGTTCTTCGCTCCCTTTTCAATTTCACTCACGTAGCCAGCTGGTAAAAATTTCATCGCTTATTGATTTGATAAAATCGGCTGCAATTGCATGTTAACTTCAGAATGAATCAGTGATACTGATTGGATTATTCCAACAATAAGTCATCCAATCAAAATGCGCGATAAATATCGGGAAGAGTAAAAGTTGTATCTGGTCCGTATCAGTACGCTTACGAACATGTCACATGAGCCTTATCCCTTAATAAAGTTTCAGATCGACCAGACTAAATCCCCCCCCAACTTTCCTCCAATAATTGACCCAGATTCACACAAATTGGAACAAGAGGGCCATGATGGCCCAAAGTCGCTCACCTGTATATAGGCCCCTGGAGCGGGGCCAGTTTAAACCCCAGGGCTTTTATTTGAACAAACTTGGTTGTATATGTATGTATGTATGTATATATATATATATATATATATATATATATATATATTATATATATATATATATATAGTATAAATATATATATATATATATATATATATATATATAATATGTATATATATATCTATATATATATCTATATATATACATTTATATATATATATATATATATATATATATATATATATATATATATATATATATATATATATTAAATATATATGTATATATATAATATGTATATATCTAAAAAAAAAAGGCAAGCTAATGAATGACCCCCGGGGCGGGGCCAATTTTGACCCCAGGGCTTTTATTTGAACAAACTTGGTAGACACCCATGAGAACATGTTTCATGCTAAATATCTTAGCTCTAGCTCTTTGAGTTCTTTAAAAGAAGATTTTTTAAGTTTTTACTATATGCATATAGGGAAAATCAATGACCCCCTGGGGCGGGGCCAATTTTGACACCAGGGCTTTTATTTGAACAAACTTGGTAGACACTCATTAGAAGATGTTTCATGCTAAATATCTTAGCTCTAGCTCATTGGGTTCTTTAAAAGAAGATTTTTTAAGTTTATACTATATGCATATAGGGAAAATCAAAGACACTCTGGGACGGGGCCAATTTTGACCCCAGGGCTTTTATCTGAACAAACTTGGTAGACAATCACTAGAAGATGTTTCATGTTTAATATCTAAACTCGAGCTATCTGGGTTTTTTCAAAGAAGATTTTTAAGTTTTTGCTATTATACACTGTCATATAAGGAAAATCAATGACCCCAAGGGCGGGGCCAATTTTGACTCCAGGGCTTTTCTTTGAACAAACTTTGTAGACGCTCACTAGAAGATGTTTCATGCTTAATAGCTAAACTCCAGCTATTTGGGTTTTTTTAAAGAAGATTTTTTAAGTTTTTGCTATACACATATAAGGAAAATCAATGACCCCCGGGGCGGAGCCAATTTTGACCCCAGGGCTTTTATTTGAACAAACTTGGTAGACACCCATTAGAACATGTTTCATGATAAATATTATAGCTCTAGCTCTTTGAGTTCTTTAAAAGAAGATTTTTTAAGTTTTTACTATATGCATATAGGGAAAATCAATGACCCCCTGGGGCGGGGCCAATTTTGACCCTAGGGCTTTGATTTGAACAAACTTGGTAGGCACTCATTAGAAGATGTTTCATGCCAAATATCTAAGCTCTAGCTCTTACGGTTTTTTAGAAGAAGATTTTTTAAGTTTTTCTTATTGGTTGCCATGGCAACCAGAGTTTTTAATGGAATTTAAATTTTTGAACAACTTTGAAAGGGGTCCACCTAAGGATCATTTCTGTAAAGTTTGGTTGCAATTGGCCATGTAGTTTAGGAGGAGATGTTGTTTGAAAAGTTTGACGCCATTTTTTGAAGGACGCACGACGCACGACGGACGCAGAGTGATGACAAAAGCTCACCTTTGAGCACTTCGTGCTCAGGTGAGCTAAAAACAGTCCAGACTGAGGCTGAAAATCCTGAAATAAGACACAATCCAGAAAACCTTTACCCCTGTAAATATTTAAGCAGTTGCTTACAAACTTGTCCTGTCCCATGTCCTGGAAATAATAAACAAAAGTACAAACAATCTCATATATAAAGTATCACATTGATCATTTCTATTTTCATTCTTAAACTAGAAGTTTTACTGTCATCGCTAAATTACCCACCACACCCCACTTTATCAGCAGGTAAAAATTACAAATGAAACAAAGTCATGATGCCGGTACTCAAAAAATACCAGTGGTAAATTAACATTCTGACTAGAGTATCTAGAACACTAATTTTATTCTGAAGAAAACTGTTTCAGTATTTTGTCACATGCTAATCAAATAAATGTCCTGTAAGTTTGCGTGGTAGTAACAATTTTGTCATTAGGCATATACACAAGTACCATTATACTAGAAGCAAACTACAGTGATAAGGCTATGGCCATTCTCTTATCCTCTCCAGCTATACTTCCCTGCTGTTGTCCTCCATCTAACTGAACGTCTGTTGCTGTATCATTGTCGGAAGAAAGTAATTCATCAAAGTCAACAGTCTCAAACTTCAAAATGAAGTTATGTAAAATACAACAACTTACAATCACTGTTGGAATTTCTTGTTCAAGATGCATCTCGAGATGTTTCAGTCGTCTAAATTTGCACTTCAAAAGCCCTATAGCTCTTTCCACATCTACTCTTGTAGAAGAATGACATGAATTGAATTTCTTCTGAACATTGTCTAGGTGGCCATTATCCCGAAATGGAACCATCATACCCTTGCTGATAGGGTATGCTGAATCACCAAGAAGATGAAATTCGTCTGGTAAGTCTTCAATCCTGGAGGCTATAGGGCTATTTCTGAATACTCTGGCATCATGAACTGACCCAGGCCACCCTGTATATACATCTAAAAACCTCAACTTACTGTCACATACAAGCTGTAGAATCATACTTGAGTGGCCTTTTCTGTTTATAAATGATGCCCGATGAACAGACCTAGGAGCTGGTATGGGGATATGAGTCCCATCTACAGCTCCGACAACCCCTGGCATTCCACAACGCTGTTTGAAGCCGTCTGCAATGGTTGCCATCTCAGATCTTGTTGTAGGAAAATAGATAAATTCTTCCATCAACTCAGTCAGAGAGTGACAAGAAGATATTACTATGAGATGTAATGTACCTGAAACAAAACAAAGACTGTCGTTTATTCACAGATCTATGTCTCGGGCAAAGCATTTTCAAGTTCCTATCTCTCAACAAAGTTATCTTGACTTTGAACCCTACTATGGTCAAAACCATATCTTCTCTTTATATCACTAGCAACATGGTGTCCAGAGTGGAGACTTATATCTCTTTTTAAAGCTAAAATAATAAACCTGACTTGCCAGTGAATCTGAAGCATGTACTTGTCAATTTGTCTTATAAAAACAAGTATCTTAAAAAGCCATTTAAGGATTAACAATGTCTGGTAATGGTCAAGATAAAAAAAACAGGCTGTGCATGGAGATGGCAATACTGAACTACAAACTTTACTATTATAGCAGAATATTAATTGCCAATCTCATCTTGATTTCTGAGGGGACGAAACAAAATGTGAGCCGTGTGGTATCAAAAACAATAAAAAGGATCTCATTTATATTTATAGATAATTGTTTTTACCTTTACTCACTCCAAATCTATCAGCAACACTTCTATAACTCTCTGGATTTGCCAGGATCCACAGTGTTGCTAGAAGCTTTTTCTCTACAGTTAGTGCCCTCTCTCTGATCATTAATGGAGCCATTTTTGTGCAAAGTTCCTGAAAAATAAATTGAATACAGTAACAATATGAATTAGCTACAATAAAATAATGACCCTATCACTTGAGAATAAGACATAGGTACCCTCAAGGCACGAAATATGTTTTTTATTTGCGTTAATCGTTAAGTGTCATATTTCTTACTTTTATGTAAATAATACATACTTAAACATTAACGCAAATAAAAGCATATGTCGTGCTTTGAGGGTATGTATGTGTTAAAAAAAATGGAGAGGGTACCTGTGATATAAATATTCAAGTGAAGAGAGGTAGCCTGTGCCGCTGCAAAACCGAAAGTAGGGTGTTTTTATGAATTTTACATTTATTTTTGACAATATACTGTCCTAAAGTTGTCCGAAGATGATATGTAAATGAACATATTAAATATGTATGATGCATAAATAATCCAGCCATAGGTTCATTGCAGCCCGAAAAGTATGTCGAGGTGATGGACGAGGCAAGACATGTCTATTTTTTGTAGCTTATTATGAGTTACAGTACATGAAAAACGGGCACATGACAAATCAGCACATAAATTAAACATACTAGTGTTCTGTGGTATACATTTTTTCTAAGTGTCATACCTCCTTTCCTTATTACAATGAAATTTTACTGGATGTTATCCATCGCTGGTTTGTTTTTAGCAGAGAATGACATGTGCATGTGCAAATTGGGTACCGTTTCAGCATATTTCGCAAAGAGGGTACCGATATGGATATGCACCGTGCCAGAATTAAATGTGAAATATTATAAGTACATGTACTTATTTAATAAAAATGTCAATAGATAAATGATTTGATATTGGCCCTGTTATTTGTCCTCTTATCAGTCGTTCGGCCTTGGGCCAGTACCACTGCCCTCGGACAAATAACAGGGCCAATCTCAAATCACTTATATATAAATTTATTAACATATACATACATATAATAATAATATATTTACCTCAAAGGTGCTCCGATTCATACGGAAGTGTGACTTGAAGTCAATGCTTGAATACAGGGGAATAATTTCCTCCACATACCCCTCAATTCTTGCTGAATCCTCTCTCTCCACTGCTAATTCAGAAAGACCTGAGCAAAAGTTAAATAAATTCCATTGTATATTTAGTGAACTAAAGAGAGGAGATAAATCTCAGCGGGCTATAAATAAGCATTTTTCATATTGAAAATAAAAAATATCTAAATTTATTCAACAAACAATACTCTATTGAATTCATTTAACTGCTAGATAAATTTTTACTAGAAAGTAGTGGCTGTTTTTGATGGCTAAAATAGAACAGTCAGGAACTCGCAGTTGGTGTATTCTTATCTTGACTGTTTATCTATTTGCATCTATAAATATATGTTGTACAATGTCTCCTAATACAACAGAACAAAGTCTTTAAAAAAATTTATATGAAATTTATATACTTCAACACCGCGAAAATATATGACAATGTTTACATTAAAAGTATTTATCAACGACCTTGCGTTCGTACTTCGATAGAAAATCAATACTAATGAATATCTACCAGCAATAGTGAGTGGAACATAAGTAATTATGTTCTGATTACGAATGGCTTGTTCAAATAAGTCATCATTTGTAAATTCGTCTATCAGTAAAGCTGTTATATCGTCAATGTCCGCCATCTTGAAATAGTTTGACGCGGACGAATCGTTCAACAAGTAGTTCGCGATGGGAATTATATCATATGGCGAACGTTTTCGGTAATGAACGCACGGCTGATCTGACCCATTCATGTCTTTAAAAGGACAGCAGGACCAACCCCACATGGGGTCATGCTTTTTCACACAATCTACCTGGTTGGTTTTGTCGTGACGCGGCTCAAATTTAGTCTTAATCTCATGAGGGTCATAATCATCATTCTGAATGAGTCAAGTACATCTGATGTTGGAAGATAGATTTCAAAATGTTGTAACAATCTCGTCTGCATGACAAAAATCTGTAAACCAGTGACATGTTTGACTTTCTCATCATTCCCATTAAGGTTTTCTTTTTAAAAGCAAATAATACCAATGCCTTCTTTCAGCTCATGTTTTCGTCTCATAACCATTGAATTTCACTTTCAATTTATTTGATATTTATCCAGTCAATGTTGGTTTGTGAAGAAACACCCTCACAATCCTGATCAGTTACACTTTGAGTACTCTCCATATCTCTAACCACTTTGACTTTCCTTGTACTCGCTTATATCAATTCAACTGAGAGGTTTCTCCATGTAGTGGTGTCGCATAAAGTTATTCCGCCTTAGTGCCTCCAAGCCGCACGTTCAGGACACCAATCTGTTAAGCTACCAGATCAGTTATCTTCTTATTTTGCTCCTTTGATAGCCATCCGTACATGAAAATAATCTTTTATACAAATTTCTTTAATATTCAGGCCAGTTTGTGTACCTTATGTCCTCAGATTATACAATTTCAGGTCATGGGGTTGTCAGTGCTGGTTATAAATGCTAACCTTTACCTATATTTATGTAATGGACTTGCCCGGCTGTAAACTTGGAACAGTCCATCAGTATTTTAAGGCATTTCAGGATAAAAAATACTAAAATTGAGTAGCCAACAGTACAGTAGTCTTGTCAGAATGCAGGGATGTTAGGGTTGACCTGGCCGTGTACATGTTCAGATGGACATTACCACATTTGCCTGTAAAGGCTGCAGGTTGATTTATTTGAATTAGGCATTATGTAATGATATCATGATATACTGTTTATATTGTTAGTGAACTATTGAACCTTTGAAAAATTTTAATTTGTTTTTCTAAATGATTAGTATGAATGCTAGTTTATACAGAATTTATTGTAGTTTGATTGTGTAGGAAGCTATAAGCTTATAGACACACTCTTGAACCAACCATGAGGGTAAAATGTGAATTATGTTAGAATTGTTTTGTTAACATATTTTATATACATGTACATGTCAGTTGTAATAGAATCATTTTTATAAAGTACATGTTTTATATATAAACTTTTACAACAGAAATTATCATGTAAATTAGTACTTTACATATTAAATGTATTTCTAAATCATCTAAAGAATTGTAGATTTCCTCAAATAAATAGAAAATTTGGATCATTTTTTTTATCTGTATGAGCTGTGGTTTGAATAATTGAGTATTATTAAATGCTGTTGTAAAATGTGATGGAAAGAGAAAACTTTTCATGTTGCATGAATGTTTCGTTTCTGTTACTATGAACATACGTAGATTCTTTATTGATATGTATAATGTTAATTCTTTATGAATATGCTAGATGTTAATTCTTTATGAATAATTGTATGATGTCTTTATGAATACAGTTGTATATAAAATATAATAATATTTATTCTTAACAAATTTTAATTTTGTGTTTCGATTATTATCAGATTGTAATAAAATTAAAACAAAATTTTGTTGTGTTTTCTCTAATTAAAAACAAATCTGTTAATAAAAAACAAAATTTTGTTGTTTTTTCTCTAATTAAAAACAAATCTGTTAATAAAAAACAAAATTTTGATGTTTTTTCTCTAAAACAAATCTGTTAATAAACAAGAGGGCCATGATGGCCCTGAGGTCGCTCACCTGTATATAGCCAACCCCCCACCCCACACCCATAAGAAAATGTTTCATGCTAAACATCTGAGCTCTAGCTCATTGGGCTTTTTAAAAGAAGATTTTTTTAAGTTTTTGCTATACACTTATAGTTAAAAACAATGACACCCCTGGGGCAGGGCCAGTTTTGACCCAAGGGCTTTTATTTGAACAAACTTTGTAGACACTCACTAGAAGATGTTTCATGCTTAATATTTAAACTCTAGCTATTTGGGTTTTTTCAAAGAAGATTTTTTAAGTTTTTGCTATACACATGTAAGGAAAATCAATGATCCCCGGGGCAGGTCTAATTTTGACCCCAGGGCTTTTATTTGAACAAACTTGGTAGACACCTATTAGAACATGTTTCATGCTTAATATCTTAGCTCTAGCTCTTTGAGTTCTTTAAAAGAAGATTTTTTAAGTTTTTACTATATGCATATAGGGAAAATCAATGACCCCCTGGGGCGGGGCCAATTTTGACCCCAGGGCTTTTATTTGAACAAACTTGGTAGACACCCATTAGAACATGTTTCATACTAAATATCTTAGCTCTAGCTCTTTGGGTTCTTTAAAAGAAGATTTTTTAAGTTTTTACTATATGCATATAGGGAAAATCAATGACCCCCTGGGGCGGGGCCAATTTTGACCCCAGGGCTTTTATTTGAAAAAACTTGGTAGACACTCACTAGAAGATGTTTCATGCCAAATATCTAAGCTCTAGCTCTTAGGGTTTTTTAAAAGAAGATATTTAAAGTTTTTTCTTTCGGTTGCCATGGCAACCAGAGTTCTGCATGGAATTAAATTCTTTGAACAATTTTTAAAGGTGACCACCAAAGGAACATTCCTGTGAAGTTTGGATGAAATTGGCCTAGTGGTTTATGAGGAGATGTCATTTAAAGTAAAAGTTTACGGACGACGGACGGACGCCGGACGAAAAGCGATCACAAAAGCTCATCTTGTCACTTTGTGACAGGTGAGCTAAAAACAAAATTTTGATGGTTTTTTTCTCTAAAACGAATCGTGTTACGTTTGAAAAATGGGAAAGTTTGTTTAACTGTTTGGGTTTTACGGCACACCAAAATAGTAAAGGTCATATGGCGACATTCCATCTTTACAGGTGGAGGAAGACCTCAGGTACTTTATTTCAGGCACGAACAGGCACCTGAGTAGAACCATCCATGTTCTGTAAGCTAGCTTGATAGCTTCCTCTCATGAAAGAATCCAAAGTCCCTGCTGGGATTTGAACCCACAGTGGTTCGGGATAATTGAAGTCAACAACCGTAATCAACCACTCAGCCATGGACACCCCTCAAACATGTAGAAAATGTGCAAGAAGTTCAATTTGACTTGGAACTACCTATAGTCTGCAGTTTTAAGTTTCTTTCCTAAAACTGGGTTGTTTATATTCATATGCTATAAATCTTTCTTGCAAACTTTAATAACCTTTGTGGTTCTTCTATGGTGACTGCTTGTTCCTGAAATACTGGATATTTCACCACTTTAAAGCTCTATTAATAGTTGTACTTCATACATGTATGAGCTAATGATACCCGTGAAAAAAATGTTGCTCATGACATGATCAGTATAAAAACTGAAAAAGAACTAGACATATTCAGTTTAACATCGATTCATTTGAAAACAAGTACAATAAAAGCTGTCTGAGGAACAGATCTCTCCAATTTTCTCTGTGCTGGATAGTAAAGTAAAACTGCATATTTTCCTATTTAATTAACATATAGTCTGCTGGATTCAACAGCCGTTACCTATGCAATGAACAGTGCAAACCAAAATTAAATGAAATATGATAATTTTCATTACACAGGATTAAAATAAATCCTGTATTTATAGAAACAAGAGGGCCATGATGGCCCTGAAGTCGCTCACCTGTATATAGGCCCCCAGAGTGGGGCTAGTTTAAACCCCAGGGCTTTTATTTGAACAAAATTAGTAGACACCCATTAGAAGATGTTTCATGCTAAACATCTAAGGTCTAGCTCATTGAGTTTTTAAAAAAAAAAAAGATTTTTTAAGTTTTAACTATACACATATAGTTAAAAGCAATGACACACCTAGGGCGGGGCCAGTTTTGACCCCAGAGCTTTTATTTGGACAAACTTTGAAGACACTCACTAGAAGATGTTTCATGCTTAATATCTAAACTCTAGATATTTGGTTTTTTTTTTCAAAGAAGATTTTTAAGTTTTTGCTATACACATATAAGGAAAATTAATGTCCCCCAGGGCAGGGCCAATTTTGACACTAGGTCTTTTATTTGAAGACACTAACTGGAAGATGTTTCATGCTTAATATCTAAACTCTAGCTATTTGGGTTTTTTCAAAGAAGATTTTTTAAGTTTTTGCTTATATACACATAAATAAAATCAATGACCCACGGGGCGGGGCCAATTTTGACCCAAGGGCTTTTATTTGAACAAACTTTGTAGACACTCACTAGAAGATGTTTCATGCTTAGTATCTAAACTCTAGCTATTTGGGTTTTTTCAAAGAAGATTTTTAAAAAAAGTTTTTGCAATACACATAATTATAAGGAAAATCAATGACCCTGGGCAGGGCCAATTTTGACCCCAGGGCTCTTATTTGAACAAATTTGGTAGACACCCGTTAGAACATCTTTCATGGTAAATATCTTAGCTCTAGCTCTTTGGGTTCTTTAAAAGGAGATTTTATAAGTTTTTACTATATCCATATAGGGAAAATCAATGACCCCCTGGGGCGGGGCCAGTTTTGACCCCAGGGCTTTTATTTGAAAAAACTTGGTAGACAACCATTAGAAGATGTTTCATGCTAAATATCTGAGCTCTAGCTCTTTGGGTTTTTTAAAAAGAAGATATTTTAAGTTTTTTCTATCGGTTGCCATAGCAACCGGAGTTCTGCATGGAATTAAATTCTTTGAATAATTTTTAAAGGTGACCACCAAAGGAACATTCCTGTGAAGTTTGGATGAAATTAGCTCAGCGGTTTATGAGGAGATGTCATTTAAAGTAAATGTTTACGACGGAAGAAAAGCGGTCACAACAGCTCACCCTGTCATTTTGTGACAGGTGAGCTAAAAACTTGAATTTTCTGTTTATTATATACATTTTTCTCTTTTTATGCGGAAGGGGAATATAGGAATGGCCTTCGTCTGTCCATCTGTAACACTTTTGTGTCTGCTCCGAAACTTTTAAACCGCTGAAAATGTTTTGAAATAACTTGGCACAAATGATCACCATTATGAGATGATTAGCAGAGCGCAATAATTGGGTTGCTACCCCTAGGTTCAAGGTCACACTTAAAAGTCAAGTGTTAAAGTGTACATTTTATGTCCGCTCAATAACATTTAAAACGCTGTAATGTTTTTCTGATGACTTGGCAAAAATCATCACCAATATGACACGATGTGCAGAACCCAACATCCAGGTTGCTACCCCCAAGCTAAGGGTTAACTGTTCTCCATAACTTTTTTTAACTTTATGGAAGATTTTAAATAACTTTGCTCAAGTAAGTACTATCAAGGTCATGTTTTTTGTTAAAGGTCAAGAAGTACACATACATGTCCGCTGCGGAAAGGGATTTAGCTGTCCTTCAGACTGCCTTGTTAGACATTACAATTTGAACGACTTCCCATTAAATTTTGTGTATTGGCTGAATTTAGAAGAATGGAGACTGGCAAGACACCAGTGAAAATATGGAAAATATGTTTAACTGTAGTGAAAAATAATTTTTACAGTGAAAATACAAAATGAAAATATGCATTTAATTTCATCAATTTTGCTCAATATTTCATTTAAAAGTATATGATAAATAAGAATATGCAAATGATACATTTCTATTGTTTTATCAATATTTGAAATATTTAAGGAAAAATACACAGTAGACCAATCCACTTTAAAGCACTGACAGTAATGTTAACAAACAAACTTTCCATTTTGGAATTTATTTATTACCATTTTATGTATGTTATACATTTTTGGCTAAGACATGTTTACATTGCCAATTATTTCTACCATTTACTGCAAAATCATCACTATTTGTGTGGCACAAATTTAATCCACAAATTTAACATCCAATGAAATTTCATTTTGTCTATTGTATAATTTTTTTACATTATAATATTTATTTTTTACTTTTCCATTATTTGCATTTTCCTTTTTTGCTAAAATATACAATCCATGGATATAAAAACCCATAAAATATCCTTTGAAACAAAACCACGAAATTTCATGCCAAGGAAATTAAATTAATTCACTATACATCAGTGGGAAATTCCCCTGAATTTAAATTTTCCAGAAGAAACTCTCAACTTCCTTTCAATACTGCACGGATTTCTGAAACTTAAAGGCACACTATGCCTCAGAAACGAATATTTTTTTCATTCTTAAGGACATTAAAAATGTGAAAATAAAAGCAATTCTGAGGCAAATTGGGCCTTTAATGTTGGCTTCATCGCACTTGTTGGATTTATAGACAATATAGAAAACGCTTTAGCAATCAGGGACAAATATCACTGCCTCCAACCCCTGAAAACATCCAATAATCTTCATTCCTGAACATGAGTAGTGTGTATAGATTGTCACCGTTTCTATGGAAACCATGGTCATATTTCCAGGAGAGGGGAGTGTCCATAAAACCATGGACTGTAACACTGCACCACGGCAGGTTCTTCTCTTTCATGTATTTCCTGTGAAGAAAAATAACACAAATTTTACATTTTTGACAGTCGCCAGAGGCTCGCATAATATAATTTCATTAAACTTGTGCAATAAATTCAGTATTGAACTTACACTCACTCAATATCCTCTTTATATTCTACTAACAAAAATTTATGCAATAATAAAATATATTCTACTAACAAAAATTTAATCAGAAATCTTGATGGGGACGATGATATCTATTTAACTGTCTTCACCTGACTAATATGACTACACAAAATATTTCAAAAGTTAACAAGGACTTCCAACAAAATAATAATGTAATACCTTAGTAGATCTACTGTTTGCTGGACAGTTTCTGGATGAAAAAATCCCTGGTACTGACAGCCAACACAACATTTCACCTCTCTGTTAGGACTGGGACAAGAATATGTTGATACATACCCATCTTCTTCATACCTACAATATGTAACATTTTCATAGTAAACCATGATTTGAACAAATCTTTGAAAGAGATACTGGTTAAAAAGTCCACCACACAAACCAGGTATTGGATTGAAACCTTTCTATAGCCACAACTAACTTTCTAAAATGATAATTTCACCCCTTGCAGTAATACCTCCAATACAAGAGCACTGCCTGCTTAGTTATAGGGACATAATTATGTTGACTTTCTAGCTTTACTGGTGGAGGAAGACCTCAGGTTTTCCTCCTTGCATTATTTTCGGCATGAATGGGCAACCGAGTAGAACCAACGGCATTCCTTAAGATAGCTTTCCAGACATGAAAGAATCCAAAGTCTCTGGCGGGATTTAAACCCATAGCAGTGAGGGCCAAGTGTTTTGAAGTCAGTAACATGAACCACTCGGTCATGATCCCTATACATGTATTTTGTCAGAAGGAATAAGTCACTTCTCTCCTTTTTCTTGTCTACCTTGAACCCTTAACTCAATTTTCAGAGGTCAGTGAGAACTAACAAACAAGAGCACCACTAGGCGGAGCATTATATGCCCGAAAGTGTTTTTTGTTTTTTTAGTAAGGATGAAGCATTTGTAAGACATGGGAATTAAATAAAGTATTACCTCCTTCAAATAGCAATCCTCCTATGCAGTTTGAACACTGTGAGCCAAATGGAATTTAAGTTATAGTTCCAGAAACTGTTTTCAGTTTTTAAGTAATCTTGACCTTTGACCTTGTGACCCCAAAATCGATAGGGGTCTTCTACCAAATATGGACAATCATCCTTTGAAGTTTTAATATTGTGGGCCAAATGGAATTTAAGATATGCTCCGGAAACCAAATTGCTAACGGACAGACGCCAGGGGGTATAACATAATTTTTTCGGGCATATAAAAAGCATACTTTCTTTTAGTGTGCTGTTTTTGTGATGTCTAAAACAAGCATGTATAACACCATGATAACAGTTTATAACGTAATTTAAATGGTTTCAACTGTGATAGCTATTTGATTCGATATAGATTCAATATTGGGCTTTCGATGTACCAATAATACAAAATTTTCCATCAATGACATCGCTATCACTAAGGTACCAAATATGTTGAGAAAGCAAGATCTTACATGTCTATGCCCACAGCACAAGCACCCAACCATTCAAACATCTCCTCATAGCCGCATGCTTGTTGGTCATTGCTAGGACAGAGTATCTCCGAATCTATGATAGGTACCCTCATATCTGTAAACTTATGTAACGTTTTGGACATCTTCACTCGGCTACATTGTATGTTATTTGACACAAAGTAGTTCTGGATAGAAGATGTACACACTTTTTCATCTGAAATTGTTCATTAGAATATAACTTTCATTAATTGAAAACATAAAACTAGAGATGCCATTCAAGACAGCATGCTGACTAATCTGAGGAATAATCTATAAAAATTATGCTAGAGTTCGGTTCATGACCAGTGACCTTAAATCTTCCCTGTTAAGAACCGTCAAGTTTTAAAAAATGACCTCTTCAGTGGTTCAAGAGCCAGACTGTGTGTTCAAAACTGTAACAAGAAATTTTCTCAGCAAAGTGAAGAAATCAGTAAAATTCAATGCATGAGTATCCAAAAATCGTAACTTGAAAAATTTTACAGTTATTGAGTTAAGGTTTCAAGAGAATGCTGTCCCAGATAAACTTTAATTAAGTGAATTGTTATATCATTGCTGATGGGGTATTATATGTAAAGCCCTTCTATTTTTTAAATAGCAAATTGAAAACCATTTGATCATGATACAAATGTAATTGATAGTTAAATGGAAACACATGCAAAATTTTCATTTCTTCGTTTTGAATTTTTTATTCATTATTCTGTAAATGTCCTCAAAATGAATACACTAGGCAGTCACAGGACAAAACTTTTCTCCTTATAAAGAATAAAATGGTGGTTTCCTAACTTGACCCGCGTGGGTCAGGTTAGAGCGTTAAGATTTCACAATAGTTGTCACAATGAACTCTGGAAACGTTAAAGAACCTGTAAAATGAACGACTTAGACTTGTTTCAATCATACAATATCCAGAATATATGTTATTGTAACTTGGAGGGTTTGTTCAAGTCACGTGACTAGTTTTAAAAGTACTCGGTTATTCTGTTGGCGTCTAAATTTTGTTACAAATATGTAGATCTATTTAATTAAGCTTCAAACAAAATAGAATTCATGCCGAAATACATGCTGGGACAAAAAATAATGTCATTTTAGCGTGATTTGAGTACATAAGATCATTTTAATATTTTTGTCATAAATTTGCCTGAGTATCTCTTTAAGCTTGTTTAGTTAGTTTAACCATATTTATTTTAGCTAAATTGCAAAATAAGCTCTGACAACTTATATTTGAGCCGCGTCACGACAAAACCAACATTATGGGTTTGCGACCAGCATGGATCCTGATCAGACTGCGCGCAGTCTGATCAAGGATCCATGCTGTTCCCTATCAGTTTCTCTATTTGTAATAGGGTTTGTAAGTAAACAGCATGGATCCTGATCAGACTGCGCGGATGCGCAGGATGATCTGGATTCATGCAGGTCGCAAACGCATTATGTTGGTTTTGTTGTGACGCGGCTCGTTTATCAATTTCAAATCTGCTTCCTGGTACAAACCAGTACTGGTTCCATATGAGCAATCATGGTTGTGAATCAAGTAGGGCTCAGACCCATGATCCCCAGGTTGAAAAATAGACACCTTGACCACTAGGCAACCGCTCACATCACCTTCATTAGATTACAGGATCCAATGTCTTCATGTTTGAAAACAAATCATAACTTTTAGCACATCACCTTAAAACTCCCTTAACCCCCACCCTCACACAAAAACAAAACAACTAGCTAAGAAATAAAGTAGCAAACAAACAAGGACTTTGCAGCTTACTGTTAGATTTCCATGTGACTAATAAATTAAAGAAGGGAAGTTGCGCAAGACACCGTTTAACACGGTCATACAGCTTCTGTCCTGGATGAAACTTCTCTGCCAAGACATCCACTTGTACCACTGAAATAATAAAAGTACATATGATTTATGAAGTGTTTATTAAAATCAAAGAATAATGACTCAAAGGCATCAGAAAAAGGATTTCTCATAAAATTAATATAAATACATCTATGTTGTGGAAAATAAGTTTAACCCATATAGCTGCATGCCACCAGATGAGTCAAAATATTTCAAGAAAATAAAACTAAATAAAAATGTACCAAGATTTTAAGACAATAAGCGCCGCAATGCGACCAAAACCAGGTTTTCAACAACCAAGTTTTGATGTGACAGCAATCAATAGGTCAAAGTGCACTGAAGTTATTGAGTAGATACTTAATATTCTATTGTAAGCAAATTACCTTGACCTTGCTCCCAGACTAAGTGGCAATCCAAAGCTGCCACTCAGCAAGTTCGGTGACAAAAGGTCAAAGCAAACTCAAGTTATAACATGAAAACTAAATGCATTAACCTTGATCACAGACACCTGGGTAGCAATCCCAAGCTGCCTCTTGATATTACCTATCCATTCATCAAGTTTGGCGTCAATAGGCCAAAGCAAACTCAAGTTATTGAGCAGAAACTGAATTTCTATTTTTAGTAACAGTGACCTTGACCTAGATCACAGACACCTGGGTGGCAATCCCAAGCTGCCTCTTGATATAAGCTATCCATACACCAAGTTTGATGTGAATAGGCCAAAGCAAACTCAAGTTATTGAGCAGAAAATGAATTTCTATTTTTAGTGACAGTGACCTTGACCTTGATCACAGACACCTGGGTAGCAATCCCAAGCTGCCTCTTGATATTACCTATCCATACACCAAGTTTGGTGTCAATAGGCCAAAGCAAACTCAAGTTATTGAGCGGAAACTGAATTTCTATTTTTAGTAACAGTGACCTTGACCTTGATCACAGACACCTGGGTAGCAATCCCAAGCTGCCTCTTGATATAAGCTATCCATACACCAAGTTTGGTGTGAATAGGCCAAAGCAAACTCAAATTATTGAGCGGAAACTGAATTTCTATTTTTAGTAACAGTGACCTTGACCTTGATCACAGACACCTGGGTAGCAATCCCAAGCTGCCTCTTGATATAAGCTACCTACACACCAAGTTTGGTGTGAATAGGCCAAAGCAAACTAAAGTTATTGAGCGGAAACCAAAAGTTGACGCCTGACCGCCCGCCCGCCGACTTCGGCGTTACAATAACCCGGTTTTCGTTGAAAACCTGGTTAAAAAGTAAAGCGATTCAAGTAATAATTTACATGTTATGTGCCATTTATGACTGATTTTGCGTTATTTATCACCATATTTCTACTGTTTGACTAACGCAGTGTTATTTTTGTTTATTTTTGACCTCTTTTTGGTCATTCACGCGGATTGTAAGTGCCATTTTCAATATCTGAATTACTCTCTGTGTTCATAAATACATTTCAAAATTTTCATAAAAATTAGCATAAATCTGTTGGCATGCTGCTTTAATGTACTGAAAACGAGCCAGGCCGGAAAACACATGCATGTAGGTACATGTACCTCAATGTTCATACAATTTTTGTACAAACTCTGCAGGGTAAGGGTTATACTAGCCAAAAGTTTTTTGTTTTTTTTCAAAGAATGAACTTGGAATCATATCCAGTCCTTATAATTATTGTATACATGTATCATATTCTCTACCTAATTATAGATGAGACAGACAGTGTCAGTTCTCAATTAAAGACAATTTATCTAATATACACAAAACTGACATGTGTACAGAAGTTGCAAAAATTCACATAAAGATATGTTAGCTTGTTTCTCTTGTTTAATTGCCAAAGTTAATACATTTTTTATCATATGAGCCGCGTCATGACAAAACCAACAAAATGGGTTTGCGACCAGCATGGATCCAGACCAGCCTGCGCATCCACGCAGTCTGATCAGGATCCATGCTGTGTGCTTACCAAGTCTATTACAAGTAGAGAAACTGATAGCGACACAGCATGGATCCTGATCAGACTGCGCGGATGCGCAGGCTGGTCTGGGCCATGCTGGTCGCAAACCCATTATGTTGGTTTTGTCATGACACGGCTCAAATCTTGGCGGTTGGTCAACTTAACCAGCTTTCCTGGATAACTAACCAGTAACACTTAATTTCTCTGCAAGTGACTCTCTGGTAATCTCACATTATTTCCAAATCAACAGTGAGAGAACGACTATCATTAGGATCAGTTGTCACAGAGAAATTGTGCCTCTCTCAAGGATCGAATTTGTCTCCCCTGGATTATAACTCTCTTATGTTCTCCATATTGAGCTCAGCGGGTGATGGACGTAAAAGGTAATGAGCCACTTGGTCATGACTAAACTACAGTAACAAATTAGATATATTCTTGGGTAAATCATTAAACTAAACAGAAGAAAATTTTAGAATACTTTAACTGCTTAATTTATGAAATGAACTTGTCTAAATTTATAACTTTCAATTATTATTTCAAGTAATCTCAATACCATAAATCTAGATTTATTGACATGGTGCCTGGTCCTGACTGCATGAATGTACCAGCTAACATGGCTCTTAAAATAGTGGTATAGATCTATTGTTGTTTTAACCAGCATTTAGAGATAAATATAATTTGAGCCGCGCCATGTCAAAACCAACATAATTGGTTTGCCACCAGCATGGATCCAGACCAGACTGCCAACCGTGCAGTCTGATTAGGATCCATGCTGTTCACTTACAAAGCCTATAACAAGTCGAGAAATATATAGCGAACAGGTCGCAAATGCATTATGTTGGTTTCGTCATGGTGCGCCTCATTTTTACCCACCAAATTTTCCTGTATTCTTGTCTACATGTGACGGCTGACCATTTATACCAAACTTCTGATATGTATCTTTGCACAAGTTCAACACAAGTTTCCCTGAATAAAGAAAACACCATTTGAATAATTATTGTGAACAAAAAATACAATAATCAACAAACAAAACTTACTGGTAGGGACAAAAAGTTTCATTCTTCAAATTATACCACATGCTTAACCTGTACTCTGCTGATATCTTTTTAATAAAATTGTCCGGACTTTAAGTCTCAAGAACACTATTATTCTCTCTCTTTGTTCTTTTTGTGTCATGTACATGTATCTATTTCTATATTTCTTCTTTTTGTGTATTTCTTTTACAGTTTATGAAACAGTACACATAGGCCACATATCTGAACCATCTTTTGTTTATTGGCCACTAGTAAAGTTACAGTGATTTAGTATTTTGTACAAAAGACAAAATACCAGGTTGTTTACATCTGCCTATTTTATTACAGATAATTTTACATTCCAGACTGCTTTTTTACCACATGCTCTAAATTAGTTTCAAATATCATTAAAAACACAGCTTCTTTTTTAAAGGGAAAATTAAATAAATATCTGAGGATAAATGTGCCTTTAAATTTGGAACTATCAAGTCTTATCTAAAAGGGTTTTGCTTTTACCAAATGGGACTCCAGGGACTGTAAATATTTTTTCGAGGTTTTCATTAAATATTTTATGGAACTCTATACCAAGGGAATAATTTGCAAACAAAATTTCAGATAATTTGCTCATATCTTTTCCGAATATTTTTTTTTTTTTTCAGAATAATAATTTTTATAAGGTTTTATAACAATACAGTTTTTATTTTTATGTCATAGTTCAGTTGAACACCAAGCAATTAAGGGTAAAAAATTCAACATAAGTCTTACATTCTGAAAAATTTTAACAACAGAGGCATTCGAAGCCACTGTCTGAACTAGAAATTAAAATCAACAAAAAGGTAAGTTTTGAAATAATTAATGAACTTTGTCTTACCTGTAGGCAGTAGAGCAACACAATTGTCTGTATCTATCGCTGTTCCATGTGATATCATAAGTACACTACCTGATAAACAAAATAAATTCATATGAATTTGATAAACACAGGATACTCATATGAGCAACAACTGATAAACACAATAAAAAATATAATTTGATAAACATGTAGGATATATGAGCAACAACTTATAAACACAATAAAAAAATATAATTTGATAAACATGTATGATATCATAATTATGAGCAACAACTGATAAACAACAAATATTTCATATAAACAATACATGGTAAACAGTCAATTAGCCCTAAAATAAAATATTGTTTGTGTCCCCTCCGTTAACCTACCCAGAAAATTTAAGTTGGAATAGCTTCCTCAAATGAAAGAATCCAAAGACTCAAGGATTCAAACCAACTGACGTGAGGGACAAGATGTTCAAAATCAGTGAACTTGGCCTCAGAGGCCCCAATTTGTTAAATAACTTAATATTTGTATACATTGTACTTTAAGCTTTACAATCAAATTAAAATGAATTCTCTATGAACCAAATCAATACTACATGAAACAAATATAAAATCTAAGACAACAGTGGTTAAAATCAAGCACCTGATAAATACACAAAGCATCGAACATAACTTTCTATACAAATAAGATATAATTATGAAAATAACCTAATTAGAGGTAATCAAAAAGGATATGATTTTTAGATCAAAACTAGTAAACATCTATATTTTCACAGATGTCTTTCTCCTATGTTTTACATGTATTTCCTATTCAATAAAACATAATGAATGAGTGGAAGATGAAGAATATTGGATATCGATTTATTTGTGCTCTTTTCAATTATGGTTAAAATATAAATCTTAAATCAATAAATTAAGCTAAAGACAGGCGATATATCCTTGAGTTACATAAAAGGTTTCTATATCTCTGTGAACAAGCGTCTAAAACTTAAATTTTAGTTGTTCAGTTAAGTTGTAAGCTGCTGGAATGGTAAGTGATTATCCTTTACCACTACAACAAAGCCAAGCCAGACTACACAGGAAGTCGGTCTGCAACGTCTGACCACACTCTATACTGTTGGTAGCTCTTTTTTGTAATTTGTAAAGAAATTCCTTAAACTTCCAATGGACTCAAATTCAAAGCAAATTAATTACACAAGTTTAGCAGGTTAACAAACAGAGAAAATATAATAAGAAATAACATAATAATATTATAATTATGAACATGAAAAAATAATCACTGCACCTCCTTTAATGAAGCCATCTATAAACTCTATGTCAACCAATGTTTGTAGAGGTACTTGCTTTGCAAGATACGCCAACTGGCCATCTAACAGGTTGTCTACTGATGTAGGAATCTTGGCATACTCTGGTAGCATGATATGAACCTGCAATGACAAAATGATAAAAGTATTTATTTATACAGAATTTATTTAAGTTAAAGAGAGTAGGAAACTTTAAGCTTATACTTATAGACATGGTCTGGAATCTATTACTGAAACCAACAAGTACTGAGCAATGAGTGTAAAAGTCTCTTGCTCAAGGAAACAACACATATTTTCACCCATCAATTTTATGGGTTTTTGAACTGGTATCAATGTTTCTTTATTAATGTATTCTGTTTTAATCACAGACGTTTCGGGTCCCCTGTAAACACCATAGGTGTTCAGTGCGTTGATTGGTCACTACCCCTGGCCAAACCCCTTCCCCCTCTTAACCACTCTACAAAAATCCTACCTCTTAAAACCATGTAAACTGCAGTATTTTTCATTTGAAACATGTTTTAATAATTGGTATATGTTTTTAATTCAATAACATTCATTTTCGCAACAAAAAAAAAATGATATCTACATATATATATTTAGTAAAGGTATGCAACTCGCCGCTCATTTTTCAGCACTCGTCTTAATATGAACTCCATAACTCCAACATTTATTCACAAATTTTCAATATCTTGGTACCAAATAGAAAGGAATTAAAGCTGTCATTACAATCATTTCAAGTTTTAAGAAGATATGTAATCTCGAAGTCACCGCAAGTGTAACTCAACAGAGACCTGACCACTGAGTTTTTGTCAAAATTACCTGACTAAACGGCAGTTTATTCAAAATGAATGAATATTTTTTTGAATTGCGCATATAAATTATATTATTATTGTAATAACTGTCCAATCAAAACATCATATAAAACTATAACGAACCGTTTTCCAATATGTCAAATTCCAAATCAAAATGCAAGTAATAGTTCTGCAGAGTGCTCTCCTCTTTATTTTTTTGTACGGAGTATTTTCATTGGTCTAAGGTTTTGACACGACCAATGAAAATACTCCATACGAATGCATCCGTTTATACATGTGTACTGTCATTTTGGATGGTTTATACATGTGTACTGTCATTTTGGATGGAGAATTTAACTAATCCGAAAAACGGTTCGTTATAGTTTTATATGATGTTTTGATTGACCAGCTAGTTGCATACCTTTACTAAATATATATATATCATTTTTTTATTTTTTGTGGAAAATGAAGGTAATTGAATAAAAAGCATATACATATACCAAATATTAAAACATGTTTCAAATGAAAAATACTGCAATTTACATGGTTTTGAGTGGTAGGAGGGTTGTAGTGTGGGTGAGACAGGGCTCTACAAATTTTTTTGGAATAGAGTTGTCCAGGACAACTGACCTAGCAAAATAGAGTTGTCCCAAAATTGACCACAAGTGTCCAAGTCTCGGTAAATGTTCAGTATGCGTAGTATGTATATCCAAAGAAGAAGTAAAAACAATTAATTTTTTTAATATTTTTAAGTTACATTTTGTATTTCATTTAGTATAAAATAGAACATTTTGTTTCAACTGAAATAGTTTTGATTGTTCAGCACTCTTCCCAGGTACCTTTCAGCACTGTTCAAGTTCAATAGCCTGTGTAGGCCTATATGTTTTGTTTCAGTTTTATTTTTTTTTCCTGAATTTTTATCCTTGATCTTGAAAATTTAAGTAAAATTATTCTAACATGAATCTAGTTAGCCATAGCCTCTCTCAGTTTCCACATTTCACATTGGACATGGTAAATAAGAAAAAGACAGTCATTATTACCCGGTAGGGAAATATAAAATATGATAGTGAATTAGACTATTCAAATACTTACAAATCTCATCATTATTTATCTTAACATTGTCAAAAAATCTCATCATTATTTATCTTATCATTATTTATCTTAACATTGTCAAAAGTCCTTTTGATTCATAAGTAACAAAAGATTTTTAATATTTCTACTTGCTGATTAAACTGATTAAAACTGCCTCACGATTTATATCACGATTTATATAAAAAATCGGTATCGCGAAAATATGTGACAAATGAAAAATTTTCAGTTTTCCTCATAAATTATACTATTTTGACTATTGTATGTTCGAATGCGTTCATAATAGATGCTTTTTTTGGATATTTTAATATTGTTTTCCACTTAGGAATTCATCAAAAAGCCTAAAACAAAAAATTCCAAATTTGCAATTCACGGCACAAATTACTGTCTGCTTGTGTCAATCTGGGATGTACTATAACATATGTTCCAGTGTCAATATATCAACTTCAAAGACCAAGTCTGTGACTTAATAATGTTTTTGACATGTCTATAGTAATGTTGGACTTTGTCTTTAAGATTTTATCAAACATTTAGTGTCTTATTCTATTTTTTATTGCCTGTGCCAATGTAAAAATTAATCAGCGTAGGCAACTGCTGAGCATTTGATTGCCTCAGGCGAAGATTACTGGCGCCACCATGCTGTGAAGGGTCGTATCAATAACATAATTTTACAGTTGTCCAAGATAAGCATCTGTCAAAATTTGACTTGTCCGGGACTAACTTTCTGCTTATTGTCAGTTGTCCCAAGTGGTTTTAGAGTTGTCCCGGACGTCGGACTATAGGATTTGTAGAGCCCTGTGAGAGATGGGGGCTTGGTCAGGGGGTAGTGACCAATCAATGCGCCGAACACTTATGGTAAACACTATCAAAAATATTTTAATATTAATTTAAACAGGAATGGAACATCTGTTACAACGATAAAACTGGTTTTCAAACAATTTTTGAGTATTTAAGCCAAGATGGCTTGTAAGCTCCTCCTATACAGTATTGTCAAAGATATCTTCAATAAATATCACTTGTATATCAAATCTTTGCCAGCTCCGGTCAAGTAGAGTTTTAAATGTCAAAATACTTTTAACTGAAAACAATCTTTTCATCTAAATTATTCCACTGGTCGATGCATCTAATATGGGGTAGTCAAAGTCCTATAGACTACACGTGTATATTTAAAAGAAAATCAAATAAAATAACAATTAATATATATATTAATAATATTAATATATAGAATTCTATACACATCAATGAAATTTTCAGTGTCAGTTCTAGTTAGGCGCCGCCATTTACAATGTAACTCAATGATAAAAGGCGGTGTATTCCGATAATGGAACAAATCTCAACTTTTCGGATTATGATTAAATTGTTGAGTGTTCCATTGAAAACAGAAGCGGGTTCAATATAATACCGAAATGACACCTTTAAAAACTGAAAAATATGAAAGGCTTATTTTTTAAAACTCCCCTTTATAGGCTTTGCCTAATTTCATATTTGGAAATGAATGTAACTTGTTTTATTCACACTTGGTTTAAATAGCTGGAATCACTGTAGTCCCACTGTACATAGGGGCCTAGTCCTTCATTGAAAGACATCGAATTTTCTTTTTTTTTACAGTTTGACGTTCATCGGAAAATGCGGATTTGACCCATAGCTTCAAATCCGCGGTTACGTCTAAATATTTGGACTAAAAGGGACCGTGTACATGTAATCCCCGAAATGCATTTCATTTTATCATTAATAAAAAACAATGCCATGCAAAATCAAACTTACTGAAGAATTAAATGAATGTTCCACAATACGTTCCTTATGTTTTTCTTTCTCATTTAAAAAGGAAGATCTCTCAAAAACTAGTTTTCCCAGAGAGGACACATTTTTCATGGGCGCAGACATTTTGGACGGTGCGTTGTCGTGATAAATCTGTATCGTTAAAAATTCGGTTTACTTTCGCTCATGCCGACTTGAGAGGTTGAACACCTCGCCAAAATACATCCTTTCTTCCATTCATTCTACATTGTACATGCATTACTGCCCTTAAATTTGACATTTTGCCCATTCAAGGGATAATTATAGTGAGTACGTGAACAAAGGTAAAAGTCAGAACATGTTTACATATTTTTGTCAGAATTCCCCTTTCAATTTATTATTTACTTTCGCATGAACGATAAATAACACACTTGGGTCCAAAGAAAATTTTTACTAAATATCTCTAAGAATTTACCTGAAACGGTCAATCTTATTTAAAAAGAGTGGGCGCAGATTTATTTTTTATTTTATGCAGGATATATATTCTATCCAAAACGTTTTCGAATATGGCCTGTTGGTCAATCATAATTATAGCAGTCAATCTTTCGAATTATTTCGTCAATTTAGTTCAACTTGAAGATGACAATATGAGCATAATGTCACTTTAACAATCAAGTCTGATTCTAACTAGCTATTAATTAGAATTTGTAGAGTGGGTCAAGCCTCTCAGTTAAGATGTTAAAACTGAGGCTAGACTGAACAACAATAGGAAGGCTATTCCAAAGACGTATACTTCTGGGAGAGAAAGAACTTTTGATGGTATTGTGTCCTCGAGTAGGGTATCAGGTAGTTCAGATTTCTTGTTTGAGTAAGGTGTTAAATTGGTGGTCAACAAAGACAATGTTGTTTTGGATATTATACAAGTAGGTTACAGCACTCATGTTTCGACGCTGCCCAAGGATTTGCCAATTAAGTTCATTTATCATTTTTAAGACACTACTTGTATAGTCATAATCATTAAAAATATATTTCGCAGCTGATCTTAAAAATTTGGACTTGCTCTATCTTATAATTTAAGTATTTCTGCCAAGGATGCCAAACTATGATATACATGTATATAATTATGATAAACAGTTGGATATATTCCTGATGAAAAATACTGCAAAATAGCTTTGCAAGTCACAATGAATACTAAAAACTGTGCAATTAAATTTTGGAATATATATCCTTAGTTATTTTTGTACGGCTTTATTAGACTATGAAGTTTAAAAACAGCTAGTGGACTTTGATCGACAGATCTGTTATTTGTTGCATTTGGTCGTGGTCTTTCAAATATAATTATTGGAAAGACACTGATTAGGTTTAATAGAAATTATACCATTCTAAGAGGTATAAAAATGTTAACGATATACTATGCTCAACTTTTGATATAGGAAAATATTGATAATTGCTACACAGTCTCTTTGTAAATATACAATAAAAATGTTTTGACTTCACACGAAGTACATATAGATATGCTATGTTTAAAACCTACACACTATAGGTGGTCACAATATGTATATGTAGTGTCATTAAAAACCTGGCAGTTTTTTTTAAAAGAAAGTACCAACTTTGCTTGACCCGTAATTGGGAACATATACACATATAGTTAATTCATTCTTTTATTTCAAAATAGGCATATCTGGTAAGAATTTTATAGATTTCAATAAATTTCCCATAATTAAATTTTACTAGTATATCTTTTTAATGAATTCTCAAAATCTGCCTTCGGTTGGCATCCTGTCGGGGGCCCCTTTTTTCCCCGGAGGGGTTTTCTTTGGGACAAAATAAAATATGATCATAAAAAAATCTTTTTAGTACTAATTGAAATTTTGGTCAAATAGTATAGAATTGAAGACCTCATGCTCTGAATACAATTTATCAGGGGAAACAAATTTCCAGGATTTTCCCGTTTATAAATAAAAGAAATAAAAAACAAGATAAAATTTCGTACCCAAAAAACTAACCCAATTTCTTGTAAAAAAAAATCGCCAAAAAAAGAAAAGTTTTCAAAATAACGTGAAAGAAAAAAACATTTAAATTCAAATTTTCTAAACAATAATAAACATTTTTTTTATTTAATTTAACACCAAAATTCAATTAAAAAGTTTAAAAGGGTATAAAAAATTGCGTGGGAAATTTCACGAAACCCGCCATATTAAAAAATTAAGTTGATTTTTTCTAAATACCTTAATTCTCGAAATTTTTTCCAATTTTTTCTTTGATTAACCAAAAAAACAACATTTCTTTTTATGACAACATAAAAAATTTTATCTTAAAACAATTAATCCCACAAATTTTCAAATTTAAAAAAACGGCAAACGAGGGGTTTGCTTAATTTCCCCCGACGTCGGGATAAAGTTACGTTAGGGTACTTTTGGTGTCGAATTTTTTTTATCCAGTTAGGGGAAACAACTTTCCAAAAATGGGGGTATGTTTTATATTTTATGAAGCTATTATTTAAAATATTTGGGGTAATTTGCCAAAATTGGGGAAAAAACAGTGCATTGTTTTTGTTAAAAATCTGAAAAATTTGGGGAAAGCATTTCTTTTGTTTGAATGTTTTTTTTTAATATTAAAAACCTTTTTGAAAAAGGGAGAAAAAAGATTAAGTATTTTTTTTAATGAAATTTAAAGCCTGTTTTGTGTTCCACGCGTTTCAACAATTCTCAAATGGATTTTTGTTTTTTTATTTTTTTCTTCGCTCTTTAAACGGCGATACATTATGCTATATTATTAAATACATTGTACATTATTTAACTAATTATCCTATCTACAGAAATTTGAACTAATTCCGAAGGCTTTTGGTTAACTTTAAATAAAATTTCCTTCTTCCCGATGGTTTAAGAGTAACAACAATGCAAGATTTGAAATTAAATTCAAATGATTTTAGAATTAAACAACAACAACGAAAAAAAAGCCCGGAAAACAAACAAACAAAAAAAAAAAAAACAAAAACAAAAAAAACCGATTTAATTAGGCGATATAATTTCACATTAAATTATTTACTTTATGATATGAATGTATTAAAACAATAATATTATTTTTGAATTTTTAAAAAGCGTGCTTTGTGCCCTATGCGCCATACAAGCAATGTACACTATTGCATGATATCTATAATGCAAGTAAGAAAGAGGTACACCTTTTTTTACTGAGTATGTTTGTAAATAAGATTCACTGAAGAACCCCATTCACGTACCTTATTAATTATCAACCATAACATTTCAGATCTTTCAGTTATACAATGACAAAGCATATGTCTTTTATTTACGTACTTGTAGTTCCTACATGTATATTTCTAGTATGTTTTGTACACACATATATTAATTACAACCTATAATTATAACCGAAAAGACTTTTAAGTCCCGATATCGAACATGTCATTCTTATGTTAAACATAGTATTTTGTCATACGAAACGATCATTATATTTTACGGGCTAATGTTAACGCAATTAATTAACGCTTTACAAGTCATGGCAACTTAAATTTGGTGTTTGGTGAATGTTGTAAGTTAACCCTTTAATGTATGTAAACGACACACTCTATGAACTATTTACTCATTATACAAAATATGAATATAATATTACGTGCAAACATCATTCTTTTATTTATCATCCAATGTATTATAAAAAAAAACTTTGTATGGAAACTATATGTATACATATATACCTAAAACATTCATTATCAACATATAATGGAGATCAGGGAGTCTGATACCTAAATCAATGAATAATGAGAAAAGAATAAAATTTTGTTTAAATTGCCAATTAACATTATCTACATGTACTTTTAAACAAAACACTAGTGTTTAGTTCAGACACCATTTTATAACATTACTATTTAAGTTGAGGCTCTGGTCAGCCAATACAGGCGTAAGAACACTAAATTCAAAGTTTCAAGAACCCATATAGAGCAAGAGGTTTTTGAACTTTTTTTTAGAACTTGGTATTTATACTTGGTAGATTTCAATAAAAGACGACCATCTTCTTACAACTGCATTTTAGAAGTATTTAGTTCTAAAGTGACAGCTGGCATGGACATATGATAACATATATATGTCCCCGGTTATAGTAAACGTTTATCGTTCACACAATGGATAGAATAAGGCAGTGATCTTTGTCCATTCATGTCTAAAAAAAAACACGCAAATATAAAAAACAACAACAAAAACAAACAAACACCTAAACCATTTTCAAAATGATGAGTTTGATACTCTTCTGAATGTTGTTTATTTTCCCTTACTGGTAAATGTTTTTACTGAATTTGATATGTATTTTTTCAATATTACAGGGATGGGTTTTCCCTCGTTTTATTGGCTCTTGTGTTGACGACCGTCCCCTGCCAGATACTGGAAGGCGATATGCCCCAACAGAACTGGTTGGAATGTTACCAGATATAGTATGAACCGCAATAACAAAACTCCATGTGTGATAACAAGTACATATTCAAACCTTTGCAGACATACCACGCCAAATTGTATGCAGCTCTTTCTTTGGAAAGTCAGCAAATGTCCGTTGGAGCCGATTTTAAGTATCACGGAAAATAGATAGAGCAGTTCATCAACTCTCTTATAGGAGTCCGGTAATTATTAATTAGTATATCTTACACTATTTTTTGTTGTCCTTATGTTGCTATGTACCGTTTCCGAAAAATTGTATGGACATTTATCATAAACACGTGATCTCTTTGACACTAATTTAATGTACGTGTAGTAATATCTATAAACATTTGAGGATTCTTTTTTCCGGAATATACCTCGTGCCCAAAAGCTGCTAGATTTATTGCAAAAGCAAGGATACTTGCATGATTATTTCATTTTTAAAAAGGCTTTATGGAGTGTGTCACCCTTACCTTGTCTGAATAATAAATTATAGCATGATTTAAACCTGCAAAAATGACATGCATTTATACAACATTATGTTGATTGTGTTTAATATACGAACTGAACATTTGTTAATTATATTCATTAAAGTTTTGTACGTCGTGGTTCGAACAAAGCGTTCAAGCCCCCTGGTGGCCCCGGGGCCCCGGGAAACCCCGTGGTCGGATATTTCCTATGACAGGGTTTTAGAGTCCGACGGGCAATACAGAAGACTGAGTCTGACAGGGAAA